AATTTCAAGCTTAATATCTAACAAATTAAGCTCATAAGCTTAAAGCAAAACAACTTTAGATGTTTTGCCTACACCAAATTTGATTTTATTAATCTATCATTCCTTGTTATCATTAACATAAAAGAAGAGAAATTAATGCAAAACCTCTATAATGAATAATAGAGTAAAAACATTAGTTTGAATATTCTTTGTCCCAAGAAAAGAAAACAATTCAAAACTAATTGAGATGGAGTTATATTATTATGTTATAAATTTTAAAGTCATGAAATGTAAATTAAGTTGAAATCTAATAGGTTTCAAATTAGGCTAATTTTTATATCCATTTGGCATATAAGCAAGGTACACACTTTGAAGAAAAAACATATAATTATATAGTTTCAACTTATCAAGATATCAACTTCCTTTTTTAAATAATAAAAAAAAAAACATAGATTATTCTTTCATTCTGAATCATATGCTTTTCAATTATTAAATGTGAGAAACAATAATTTCCTTTTTCTTAATCAATCATTGTTCTATTCAGTCATGTCTTTAGACTCAACTATGTCAACGATAACTTTTGAAGTTTGCCAAATTAATACTCTCCTAGCCAAATTAAAAGGCAAGGTTAGTTTTCCAATTAACTTAGTAAATTCATAAGTTGAAATCAATAGCCATTATAACTTTCACGAAATGGATAACATTGGGTATTAAAAAAACATACCTTTGAAAGAGAAATGGCCAACACTTCTTCACAGACAATGGCCAAAATCTAAGTTTCCTTTATTGTCTTTTTTCCTAGTTTGTGTTACAGAACATTCTAAACGTCCAAATAAGGCTCCAATTATTAAACAATTTTAGCCACATACAATAATTATGCATCAAGCATTACTGTCTATGATAACAAAATCAAAATCAAAAATTAAAAAATATTTATATACCAATTAACAAATCCCAACCACCTAAGTAGAAAATCCCATATCCAATGTTTCCTATGCAACCTAAAAAAAAAGAGGAAATTTGGAATTTGGAATTTGAAAAAGGTTCAACATGTTTTGGCCAAAAAGAGAAATGTGAAAATTGCTTATTAAAGAATTTCAATAGCTATAAAAACAACTCATAGGAGCAAAGAAAACACCACATCCTTTACTAGGATAAAACCATTTTGGAATGTTAAGATCAATCTCTATTGATACAAAATTTATCCACTACTCAAAATGGGCCAAAAAATGAAGAAAATATACCATAATAAAGATTGTGTGACACACAACAAAATTTACTCAGATATCTCTTGAATGCAAAAAATTAAAAAGATATTAGGATGATAAAGGGATGTACATAATCAATTAGAGTAGAACATATAAAGGATTGTCAACCTTCAAGCTAGCAATTGCAACAAACTAAATAAATCCAATGAGTTTGAAGGACATCATCAAGGGACCACAAAGGGCTAGGGGGAGTGAGGGACAATTATTCTCACCGTAACAATCAATGGAATTATGACTAAAGATTGTTGTTTTGCAACATGTCATCTCAGAAAATACATTTCCAATACGGTTCATCTGTAGAAATTCAAGGGTTTTGTTTGATACACCCAACTCAAAATTCTCAACTAGTTTGACATATGCACCACTGTACTCTACAACAATGTGTATCTTAAATAGTTTTAGATGATTGCCAACATGAAATATACTAACTATGTTGAAGAGTATGGGACATAGATTAAGCAATTCAATAACTACAAATATCATAATAATCAACCATAAAAACTTGACTCTCTCATACAATTAACCTCCAAACATTAACTTC